ATAAGTTTATGTCATCTGTTTACGAGATGTATCATCTGTCTGAAATGGTGGGCAGCCACAGACCTCAATCTATGGTACGTTTATCAAGCAATTCACATTTGAGGATCTAAGCGTTGCACTGTATTTGTATTACCCTAAAGAAATACATAGTGTACTTGGAAAGAAAGATAAATACATATAAAATAGTAATGATAACTCAGGAAACTTACAAACTAACCAAGCGGGATAGATGGTAACTGCTACAGAAGTTCAACAGATGACTTACAGACTGGTCCTCACCTATGTCGAGCCTAGAAAACATTAAGGGAAAAGAGAGACTATGCCAAGCATCAAGAACTGTAAGATTATAAAAGGGACACTCTCATAAACTGTATCACATGGTAGATACAACCTCTCTGGAAAAAAATTTATACTCTTATATGCTCTTTGACAAAGTAATTTCATTCCTAAGTATATAGTCTGAGAAAATAATAAGAAATATGGACAGATATTTTACAAGAAAATAAGGAAAAAAGAAAAAAAAAAAACCTGGAAATGTCCAGCTTCAGATATTGGTTAATTAAATGTTGGTATATCAGTCTATGAATTGTCTAACACCACAACAATGCTGTGTATCAACCATAAACCCTCAGTGGTACACAAGTTTATTGCTCATGTGTCTGGCGTCAGTTAGGGGTTGGCTGGCTTCAGCCAGGGCGACTGGGGCAATGTGGCTCTGTGTCACCACCTCTCCCTCTTCATCTAACAGACTCAATTAAACATGTTCCCACAGCTATCACAAAGGCCCGAGGGGAAACATGCAAGCCCTCTTGAGAGGTAGGCTCAGAACTTCCACCTCATTCTAATCCCCAAAGGCCGGAGTAAAAGTTAAAGGGCACTAAAAAGTTACATCAGGGTCAACAGGCCTGCCGCCTGTTTTTTAAAATAGTTTTATTATAAAGGACACGGGGAGCACTGTAGGGGGGAAGGGCATGCCTTTAACCCGCACTTGGGTAAGGCAAAGACATAAAGTGTAACCGTAATGTTTGTACCCTCAT